CTACTACTACTACTACTACTACTACTACTACTACTACTACTACCACTAGTACTACTACTACTACTACTACTACTACTACTACTACTATTACTACTACTACTACTACTACTACTACTACTACTACTACTACTACTACTACTACTACTACTACTAGTACTACTACTGCGAATACGAATACGAATACGACTACTACTACTACTACTACTACTACTACTACTACTACTACTACGACTACTACTACTACTTATTATTATTATTCTTTTTCTTCTTTTTCATCTCAACGCAGCGAATACTGTACACAGCTTCGACTCCGGCGCTCAGAAGCACAGTGCGAATTTTTGGCGTCCCGGGGACATACATACGGTTTGGTCGGTCACACCGCATCAAGCTCCATGAACGACCACGTAAACTTAAAAGCCACATAACTACGAATGGCAGGAGGAAGCGGAGGACCAACGGGCAGGAGGGCGAGGGAGGAAAAGGAGGGGAAGGAGGCGGGCGAACCAGCCGAGACACCAGGAGCAACGCTCAGGCCAACCTGCAATAGGCGAGCCGTTGCGCGCAGCTGGGGAGACGGGGCAAAACTGCATAGTTATATGACTATATGAGAAAGAGCCCTGTGAACGATCACGCGAGCCTACAACCCGAAGAGCACTCGGAAATCCCCCACGAGTGCAGCTCCACACGGAGCGAATCTTTCAAACTCTCACGATAGCACTATGTGGTGGAACGGCAGCGGCGGCAGCGGCAGGAGAGGGGAGGGGAGGAGAAAACACGAGCAGACACTACACAGAAACGCCAGCACGAACAAAAGGGGAGGAGGAGGAGGAGGAGAGGGAGGGGGGGAGGAGGAGGAGGGAGGAGGGGAAGCGGGGGACGGCCGCCAGTGTCCAAAACGGCCCTGCCAGAGCTACGACTGCCTCTGGCGGCGCGGCGCGTGGGCTTGCGCGACTGCGGTTGCGGCCGGGTGCCCGCGGACGAGCTCCAAAGCGGCCTGGCCAAGCGCGGCTGCGGTAGGCGCGCTGGGCGCCGCGGCGTGCCTCACGCGGCAGTGCACCAAGTACACCGCCGCAGTGCGAATGGCCGAGCGTAAGACGCAGCCAGCGGGCTGGCTCGCCGGCGAGGGGGTAAGGAGGAGGAAGTCAGACAGAGGGGACGTGGAGCGAGGGACAGCGAGGCTCCGCCACGCAAAATTCCGCACCACTGGGCACGTTGCATAATGTTCAATGGAGTCCTCGTGGGTGCCCCCGAACACACATCGGGAGTCGCGCTGCTGGAAGCGCCGGCCCGTGCACCAACCGTTAAACCAAGTTCGCAGGAGAGCGGCTCTGACCCGCGGCGGGGCGGACGTCCGGAGCGCAGCCATGACCTGCTGCGCCCTCGGCGCGCGCCTGGCGGGCGTCAGAAAGACAAGGCGCCAGCGCTCCAGCCGTCGCCTCCAGAAGCGCTCGGAATCCTCCGTCGCCTTCTCCTGCAGGATGGACAGGCAGGTCCGCTGCCACATCTTGCGGCGCTTGGTGGCGCGGGCGTTGTCGTCGACCTCTACGTCGGCGACGCCCTCGATGCTCTCCCGCACCCGGGAGGCAGTCCACCCAAGGCTCTCGTAGTGCGACACGGCGGCGTCCAAGTGCAAGATCACCGCGTCGTTGAACCGGCCATCCCAAGTCGGAGTATGAAGTCGGAGTCTGCCATGGCCCTTCGAAGTTCGCGGGCCCGGCGCGTCGTCTGGAGGCCGCCCTCGTTTCCCGCCTCGTACCAGGCCACGCGGAAGCGGGCTGCCAGTGAAAGCATCGCGAGGTCCGAAATCCCGGAAAAACCCATCGGACTCGGGTCTCGTAAGATGGACGCTGAGATCCACCCGCGCGGGCCTGGGAACAGACGGGCAACCGCCTGGCGCTCGACTGCGGGCCACTCCGGCGGGGCGGGGAGAAGCTGTGCCACGAAACCAAGCACGCATACGAGGTAGATTCTGGCCGCGAGCAGCGCGAGCTGGAAGCCGCAGCCGACCTTCCCCCACATGACGGCCCTCTCGGAAAATCGAGCCAGAGGTTTGCGCCAGGAGAGGCCCTCGCTGTCGGGGCCGAGGGTGAAGCCGAGGTACTCCGCAGCGTACGCAATCTTCATGGCGCCCCACCGGGGCGCACATGCGGCGATCGCATCCCAGAAGTCGTTCAGGGCGACCTGGCGCAGGGGCACGACGACCGACTTGCCCAAATTCAGCTCGAGGCGGGAGATCACCGCGCACTCGCGGAAAAGCTTCTCCAGTTGCGGGAGGTCTTGGTGGAGGTGCCGCGCGACGAGGGCGAGGTCGTCGGCATAATTACGCCCGCGGGGTCGCGGCCGGGAGGAGCCGGTGGAGACGGCGGAGGAGGGGGTCGGCGGCGATGGCGAAGAGCAACGGCGAAAGCGGGCATCCCTGCCGGACGCCCGCCGAGAGCGCAAAGCCCTCGAACCGGTGCCCCCCCGCCACAATATGGCAGATGTTGTCGCGGTACAGGGCGGCTATGAACCTGCAGAGGTGCGGCGGGATGCCGATCCACTCCAGCAACTCCAGCATGAATGACTGGTCGATCGACGGGAAAGCTGCCCGGAAATCAAAGAATATGCAGGCCCCGTCCTCCTGCGACAACGCGGTGAGCCGCATCTCCGTGTTGACGTCGATCACGTTGGCCAGCAACGAGCGCCCTCCGACGAATCCCTGTTGGATCTTGGAGACCCAGTGCTGGAAGATGGCCTCAAGGCGGAAACGGGCAGCATTAGCTAAGATGCGATTGTCGAAACTGACAACGTTGATCGGGCGCACTTTGTCCGCATCGTAAATATGACCAACGGTCTCGTCGTAACCGGACTCCTTCTTGGGTAGCAGATACAGGAGGGAGAAATTGAAGTCGGGGAGGTGGCGGCGCTGGAGCTCCTCGCCGTCGGGGCCGGAGAGGCAGGAGAAGGCCTCATGGAGGACGTCGATGCCGAGCTCGCCGAGCTGTCGGTAGGCCTCCGCAGGGATCCCGTCAGGGCCAGGAGCCGATGACCCGGAGCACCGGATCGCCTCCCTGATGTCTTCGCGCCGCACCTGCCACTGGGGCGAGTCCGGAGGAGGTAAGGAAGCACAAACTTCAGGAGGCAAATCCTCTTCGAACCATCGGCGACGAAGTGCTCGATCTGTCGGCCCGGCGGCGAAGACCTTCTTCCAGTGGCGGTTGAAGTCCGCGGCCATGTCGACGGGATGCATGTGCAGCGCGCCGCGCTCGTCCCGGGTGGCCTGCACGAATTTGCCCCTTCCTGGTGAAAGACGAGAGAGGAGGCGCAGGTTCTTCTTCCGGGCGCGGTGCAAGACCTCCTGGGGAGTGTTGGTCGACGCCTCGTGCAGCCTCGTGAGCTCTGAGATCGCGCGGGTGCGCGCCAGCTCCACCGCGCGTGCGCGGACCGGGAGAAGGCCGCGACCGGCGGCCAACGCGGGGTCGCACGGGTTGGGGGCCAGGGCGCAGAGGTGCGGGCACCGCTCGATCGCCGCCGAAATCGCGGAGGTGGAGTGGGACTCGACGGCGCGGATAAACGCCACGGTGCAACCCATCTGGTCGTCAGGGGAGTCCGCGCGGGCCGCGCGATGCCCAAGGGCCTCGGCGGTCGCCGCATCGCGGACGGCCGCGCGCAGGAGGGCCAGTCGCTGCACGGCATTCGCGGCGGAGTTATCCTCGCAGAAGGCCCGGAATCGGAGGGCCACGGGCTGCGCCCAGCCCGGGCGACGGACCGCTTCCGGCGAGATGGGCTTGTTGGAAGCTGGTTTGGGTGGGGGCGCACGGCGCGCGAAAAACACCGGGCGGTGGTTGGAGACGCTGAGGTCCCAGTCGTCCACTCCTGGCGGTCGAGCAAATCGGCGACTTCCATGTTCACGTAGAACCTGTCGAGCCGGGACCGCGCATGGGCGGAGTCGCGCGTCACGTAGGGCTGGTGCACCTCGGAGAACCCGGGGAGCAGGCGAGACCAGTGGGTCTCTTCTTGTCGATCCCGTTGGCCGGTGGAGGCCCCCGTGAACTTGCAGACGCGGCCCCTGTCCTCAGCGACCCAGTTAAAGTCGCCGGCGATGATGGACAACGCCTCGTGCGCCGGGCGCGTGCTCCGGGCGATGGCACTTCGAAGACGGGCGCGCTGCTGGGGGAGGGGAATCACTGCCGCTTCGCGCTGGGAGTCCGCCGGGGCCTCCGAGGGAGTAGCGAACTCGGCGGAGGAGCCCGTCTGGAAGTAGGTCACGTAGAAATCCACGGCGCCGAGCGGGCCGTCCAGCCGAAGGGCAACGGCGCGGCCCGGGCGCAAGATGACCCAGTCGCGGTGCGCGAAGTGAAGTGCTGCAGGAGCGACTCCTTGACCACCACGCCGACTCCTCCGCGACGCGACGCACCTGGAGCCCACCACGCCTGGGAGCCACGCGGGGCAGCGGTCAGCTGCAAGGAGTCCTCGGTGCCGTGGGACTCTGTGATCATCACAACGTCGCGTTGGTGAAGAAGGCGCTCGAGATTCTTCCACTTGCTGCTTTGCCGGATGGCGTTCTTGGCGAGGAGCGCCTGCGCGTTCCAGGTGCATGCCGACAAATCGCCCCGGAAGGGATGGCCAGCGCGGGCCGCCCCCTGTGGAATCGCCCTGGCTGGAGGCGCAGCCGGCGCAGGCGTCGCAACACGGGTCGGCGGTGAAAGGCCCAGTGCTCGGTGGAGTAGCGCACGCTGGCGAAGCGACAGCGGGACGTCGCCATGACGGCGCGCGCGGAGAGCTTGCTCGTGAGGAGCGGGAAGAAGAAGAAGAGGCGGCAGAGAAGAGTCGGCGGCGGCGGCAATCGAATTCACCTCGGCGCTGGCGCGGCCTCTGTGGCTCGCGGGCTGCGGGGAGCCCAGGAGGTACAGCGCAACGTCCAGCATGAGGAGCACGCATCCTGAGCCGTCGACGGCCCAGGCCACGGCCCCAGCGGGGGCTAGTCACTGGGCGGCGCCGCCGCCCTGCAGCCGATCCTGCAAGTCGCTGTGGACCTGCAGGCGGAACGTGCCCATTCCAATCTTGATGGTCTTGTCGTGGAGGGCAGCCTTCACCCGCGAGACCTTTGAGAGGTCCTTCAAGAACAGGCGAGATCGGCCGGGCGGCGCCGAAGCGTCCGTGTCCGAGAGCCACTTCCAAGTGCCGATCTTGTTGCCCGGTCCGTCGGACTGCTCGGTCAGCTGGAGGCCGGTCTGGGTGACCAAGTGGTCCATGAGGTTGCGGACAACGGCGTGCTCGTCGGCGTGGAGGCGACCCGTGATCGTGACGTCCGCGATGGCCTGGGTCGGCGAAGAGGCCCCGCGGGACTGCTTGGCACATCGGGTGGCCGCGATGCGTGCGAGCAGCGCGGAGGGGGACGAGAACGGCCGCCCTCCATGTCGCGAAGGACGGTGCTTCAGCTTGTAGACGGCGGTGTCAGGGTCGTTGCGGATGAGCGAGTCCATGGTAACCTGCCACGTCCCAGCGGCGGCCTCCGTCGTGAGGAGGAGGCGGTTTTTGCCGAGGAATAAAGCTCCTGAGCAGAGGCTCCAGATCGAATTAATGGCGTCCGCGTGGCCGAGCTCTGCAATCAGGGCGCCGGGGTCGGTGAACAGGTCCTGGGAGGCGAAGCACGCGCCGGCGGGTAAGAGGAGACGGACCTGTCGCATCAGCAGCTCCTGCTCCAGGCGCGGCTTGTGGAGGGGATACCGGATCTTCACCCTGCCCCGCGGGGTCTCCTCCGAGTGCCCGGGGCTGCGGTAGATCCGCCCGATCTGGGCCGACTGGCCGGCACCGGCGAACAGCGCCTGCATCACCTCCACCCCGACGGCCGAAGGGAAGTCCACAGCGTAGGTCGGGAGAGCCTCCAATGTGAGGATCGGCGCCTCCATCTCACGTACCCGGGGGGGTTGGCGGGAGAGTATGGAAGATACCGTGAAGATTGCCAAACCCCGGAGTTCGTGGCGGGGCCCCGACGGCCCAGGGGAGACAAACTCCATGGGCTGCGGGTGGAACTCGACGTTCCGGATCATCGCCGCACAGTTTTCGCTCAGGAAGTCGTGCCACCACAAGTCGCAAATCGCTTCGCTCGTGGAGCAGCCCGGGTGAAGGTCCAGAGGAACGATGAAGCGGATGTACTGGCACGGCACCTCGTTCGCTGAGCGGCGGAGGAGCGAGGCCACGAGGCGACCGAGCGCCGAGGCGTTGGCCGGGGCCCAGAGAGAGAGCGGTTTGCCGCTGTCCCTGACCACGTTCCAAAAGGAGGGATCGCCTTTCTCCGCCAAGTCGGCTAAGAGGCGGGCCTCGTGCATGGGCAAGATCCTGCTCTGGTTCTGCGTGGACAGCGGGGCAGCGTTCGTGTCCAAGAGGGCGGACCACTGGGTGCAGACAACCTCGGAGGCGTCGGGGGCGGTGTCAAGGACTGTGAGGAGGGCCCTGCGGCCAAGCTCGTGCCAGAGGGGCAGCTTGGATGGGCGGACTCGTTTGCGTTCCCTGAGCCAGCTGTCGAAGGAGGAGAGACAAGTCGTGGCCGCCTGGGTGATCTTCCTAATGTCGTCGTGTGCCCCCGCCTTAAAGGCCGGTGGCCAGGGCGCGGTGTCGATCATGGACGCGAGCAGCTTGGCGAAGCGGAGGCGGGCCTCGACGGTGTTCAGGGAGAGGTCCGGGCCTTCCAGCGGCGAGAGGCCCAGGACGCTCCACTCGTCGGCAGCTGCAGGGTCATAAGCGAGCGTCTTCAGGACTAGCGTGAAGTCCGAACGCGAGTCCAGAGAGCGGGGCGCGACCGTCTGACCGTCAATCTGGCGCGCCGCCTGCACGATCTCAAAATTCGTTAACACCTGGTGCTCGATCAGCTCCGCGAGCATGGCCTGGCCGGAGGGCTCCTGCAGGAGGCCCGGCGGCAGCGCGGGGCCAGCCTCCGCGGGCAGCTCGGCCATCGTCTCATCCGCCTCGAGGTCAGAGTCATCGTCCACCCGCAGGAGCGACATGCCCTGTGTGGCGCCAGAGCCGTCTGTCTCGTTGGACCTGCTCTCGGGGCCCGCTGTGTCCACGGGCGCTGGCGCGGCAGCAGCCAT